ATGAGTTTTATTTTGAATTACATGTAAAATTATTTTATGAAAAAATGTGATTGAAAATGAATTTTGAAAAAAATTGAGGTTCACACAAGCATTAAAGACACATATAAATGTATTAAGAAAGAAAGAATATGTGCAAAGAAAAGTAAAGAGAAGGGAAAATGTTACTTGTGCAGATTTTTTAATAGATGTGATTACATGTGCTGAGTTGGTAAGATTTTACAAATTGGTTTAGTTTATTTATTTTGATGTGAAATCTTGTCAATTCAACATTTCATAAATCAAGTGGTAAATCAGTTGAGAATGTCAATTTGATTCGTCGAATTGAGTGGCCCGTGCTGCGGCTTGTTGGAACCAAACCGAGGCTCGAGCCACACCTCATTTTCACGTGTTGGCTTGAGCAAGCTGGTAAGCCACACGAGCCAACCCGGATCAACTACACTAACATGGGCCATTTTGGCTCCTGTCTTGAATTTCAGTTGCCTTTTAAAAAGGCAGTTATGGCTGCCTTTTTAGAAAGGCAATTGTATGGCTGCCTATAACTTAAGCAGTCGCTACCTTTAAAAAAATTAAAATTCTTAAAAAAAAGAACCAGCTTCTCAAGCTTCATTTTTTGGGTCAAGCCTATGCATGGGCCAAAAAAGTTCGATCCATTTTTAACCGAGTTGCAAAATTCAGCATGTGAGCCTACTCGACCTGTTTACATCCATAAAATCAGTATGTACATGTAGTATTTTTCAAAAGGAGTCTAAGAAAACACTTTTATATTTCACTGACAAATGAATAATGGACGAGACGGTGGATGATTTGACAGTGACTTTACAAACACCTAGACATGTAATCGCCTATGATTATAGTTTCTCTGCAAAGAATATATATATATTTTTTTTTTTTTTTTTTTTTTTTTTTAAAAAAAAAAAAAAAAAAATATATATATATTTTTTTTTTTTTTTTTTTCTTTTTTAAAGATAAAGAGAGAGAAAAACTTTAAGTAATAAATATTGATGGCCTTGTTCTTTAATAATTTTAGCCCTTGTTTGAGCTCCATTTTTTGGGTAGAATGAATTTTTAAATAGTATATTGATGGAAAATGTGTGGTTAAAAAATGAGAAATTTTTTTGAATTTACGTGTAATATTATTTTATTAATGAATGTGTGATTGAAATGATGTCAAAATACTGTTAAAAAATGAATTTTTTCAAAAAAATGGAACTCAAACAAGGCTTAATTGCAGTGGGGGCAGATGCAATTAAATAAAGTTATCCATTGAGAGAAATCACGAGTCATCAAAAACACTTGGTTGCCTCGTCATGCCTATCCATTCACTTTCGGCTACATGGATACCGCTTTCTCTCTCACGTGTCACCTTCCAAACCCTACCCCATAACCCCCCACCCCATCCCCAAGCAACCACAATTTACCTTGTAAGAATTGCCGGAGATACAAAGCCCCAGTGGTAGATTCTGCAACTGGATTCTTTTCTTCATGCAATTTTTATTTTTTTCCTCGGAAGTAGATGAGTTAAGACAGAATTGATGCTGTCTTATCTTGGGATGCAGATTTTTCGGTTTGATTTTGGTAGCAGTACAGAGTTGTAGAATTAGCCATGGTTTCTTCTAACCATTAGATCTGTGGATTGGGGTCTTTTGTTTTTTGGCTTTATATTGATAATAAACCTCGTCCGTTCCGCTTGGACTCCTTACGTTCCAGCTCACTCTCTTTTCAGACCCGGTCAGTTTCTTTCTCTTTCTACTGTTTTTACCCTTTTTACTATATACGCATAGAGCCACACAAACGGAACCCTCCTTGGAGACAATTGGATTGTTATCTTATTCTAATTTTCAACGATTGAAATGGTTCTTACAATGTTCTATGTTTGATTTAAATTAGGGAGGAGTAGCTTTTATAATTTTCATTTTTATTTTTTTAATGAATTCATAAGTTCAATATTTTTGTTTTGCAAAGGAAAGTAGAAGAGCATATAAATAGCAGGTAATTTATAGTTCAACACCACGTGTATTGTGTTAATAGATATAGATGGAAGAAAGTTGGACTTGGAAAACAAGTGAATAAGTCAATGCAATTTGTCAATATCTTTTTCCTCTTCGCTACGGGGAAAATTGGGTTTAATTATAGTTTTTCAGATGGAATTTGGACTCAGATAACGACATTTTGCCATCTAATTTACTTGAACTTGGTGGATAAAAGGGTTGAAAATTATATTGGTGTGGGGATACATTTTGGCAATATATTTTTTTTTGTCTTGAGTGCTCATCAATGACGTCTACGACTTCCAATTTGTATAACGTGTCTAAAAAGATTAAAATGATCATAACGATGAATGTAATTTGAAGTGCACATACACTACGCGGGAAGGTTAAGTAGTGAATTAGTGAACGTGCATTACAAATTGGTGGAAATTTAGTAACCTGGATGTGAATTATGCTGTGTCCTATACCATTTACATAGTTTACTGTAAATATGAAATTTTCAAGTTAAGTGTATGCATCTCAGTTTTGACTACATGCCTACCATTAGCTGTAGAAGAATCCTGTTTGAGTGTCATTGCTTAAATTTGCTTGAGGGTGTAAATAAATTACAAGGAGCAAAACAAGACATAAGTTAAGTAGCAGAAAATAATTGATGTACGCTTTGAATTTGACCATAATATAACTAACATAAAATGATTCATACATATTTCACCCATGAAGATTGAGACTGGGAAATTGTCATTTTAGCTACTAATATTTTAGAGTTCAGGATGAACGCAATTTCTCTATGTTTATCAGACCAAATATTTAGGAGAACATTGCTTCTCTCTCAATCTAGATATTCTAAATATTACACGATTTACTTCCCTTTTTATTTAAATTCATTTTGTATCGCCTGCTGAATTGTCACCTAAATTTTCTAATTTTTAGGATTGGCGAAGTATTGGTATATACTATCTAGTTAGTCTGCACAATCCTCATTGACAAGTTGATTGTTTTAGTTTTCTTAAATGAAACGGGTCATTCAGTATGCACTTTTCCTGTTGGTCCCTTCCCCATCTCCCTCCCTAAAAAATAGAGCAGGGATTGTGTGCGCGTGTGTGTTTTTTTTTGGGGGGCGGGGGGGTAGGGATACCGTAATCATTTTGAAATTTGTTTAAAATTTATTTCTAGTCAACTCTTATTTTTTTGTGTTACAACTGTAGCATTGTGTGCTTCAATTTACTTGTCGTGCTTTCGTTGTCTGATTAAGAACTTGTTTTATCTGTATGTCAATGGGAACTTGTTGCTATTGTGAAGACACTTTTTCTTGTTGTTTCACTTTAATATATGAAACGGCACTTTGAATTTAATAGTAGAAAGTGCACACTATGCAAATAAGAAGTGTGAAATGTTAATGCAGGTGTGGTAGACCACTCTTTGCACACATGAGATCTATTGAATTGCCATTTGTCACAATCTATACAGAAACCTGACAATAATTTGACTGTTCATTTCAGAAAGTAACAATATGTAGAATAGACAGAAAAGGACGGAAACATGGCAATCTGCATTTATCTTCAATATATAAAGTAAAATCTGTTGCTGCTATCAGTCTTTATAATAATGCTATGTAACACGACCGGTGCTTAGCATTACCAAAATCTTTAACTGCGCCATATGTTCCATGCCTATCATTGACAATCATTCATTATTGCTGCTAATTTAAAAACCAGCTGAACTTCACGTAACATCATGAACTGGGACATCTCCTTTGTGGCTCTACATCTTCTACATCTAGAGAGGATATAAGAAGCTGCCCTGCCTTGATAGCAAAGGCATGAAGAGTTTTGGAATGGAGATAGCGGTTAACTCAAATGGGTAGAAATCTAAGGAGTTATTACGAGGTATTTAAAAAGATAAAAGAGGGGAGTAATGGAAAGAATGA